AGCCACCTCAACTGGCTCCTCTCGACGTGGAGGAGCAGCGGCTCTACTCCGAGTCCCTCCCGGATGACCAAGCTTCTCACCTTATCTCTAAGTGAGAGCCCAGCCATCCTACGGAGGAAACCCATTTTGGCCGCTTGTATCCGCGATCTCGTTCTTTCGGTCATGACCCAGAGTTCATGACCATAGATGAGGGTAGGAACGTAGATCGCCCGGTAAATCGAGAGCTTTGCTTTTTGACTCAGCTCTCTCTTCACCACGATGGACCGGTACAGCGCCTGCTTCACGGCAGACGCTGCGCCAATCTGCCTGTCAATCTCCCGCTCCCTTCTTCCCTCATTCGTGAACAAGATCCCAAGATACTTAAACGCCTCCGCTTGGGGTAGGACACCCCCCCTGACCCGGAGAAGGCCCTCTTCCCTTTTCCGGCTCAAGACCATGGCCTCGGATTTGGAGGCACTGATCATCCCGGCCGCTTCACACTCGGCTGTGAACCGATCCAGCGAGAGCTGCAGATCACGACCTGATGAAACCAATAGGACCACATCATCTGCAAAAAGCATAGATGCAATCCTAAGGCCACCAAAACGGATCCCCTCAACCCCTTGGATGCGCCTAGAAATTCTGTCCATGAAGGTAATGAACAGAATCGGTGACAAAGGGCAGCCCTGGCAGAGTCCAACTCTCACCGGAAACGAGTCCGACTTACTGCCGGCAATGCAGACCAGACTCTGACACCGGTCATACAGGGACCTGACAGCCTGTATCAAAGGGCCCGGCACCCCGTACTCCCGGAGAACCCCCTACAGGGCTCCCCGAGGGACACGGTCTAACGCCTTCTCCAAGTCCACAAAGCACATGTAGACTGGTTGGGCGAACTCCCATGCACTCTCCAGGACCCTGCTGAGGGTGTAGAGCTGGTCCAGCGTTCCACGACCAGGACAAAAACCACACTGCTCTTCCTGAATCCGAGTTTCAACTATCCGACGGACCCTCCTCTCCAGCACCCCCGAATAGACCTTGCCGGGGTGGCACCCCCGGGGCCCTGCCACCGAGGAGCTTTTTAACCATCTCGGCGACCTTGCCCACAGAGATTGGAGAGCCCAGTCCAGAGTCCCCAGGCCCAGCTTCCTCAATCGAAGGCATGTTGGTGGGATTGAGGAGGTCTTCGAAGTATTGCGCCCACCGACCCACATCGTGTCGAGTCGAGGCCATCAGTACACCATCCCCA